GCACACACACACACACACACACACACACACACACACACACATGCACGCACACACGCACACACGCACACACGCACACACGCACACACACACACACACACACACACACACGCAGTAGACTATGGGGAGACACACAGCCCCAGCCCCAGAAAGGCACTTTGATTGTGATGGGGGAGTTCGACCCCAGAAACTAGGGCCAAGCCACCTTGGCCATGACTGAGCCGCTAGGAGGGGAAGCGATCTGGGGGAAAGAAAGAGGGAGATTATCCCTTTTTGCCCAGCCAGTGAACAGCGAGCCCTGGCCAAGGCCCACCCACGGAGCCTCCACTGAGCCGTGAGATGGCCTCGTATACATGCTTACAAACCCTGGCAGATTCCCCTACTCCCGCCAGGGATAAACTTCAGGGGCACAGGCCTCCTTTTAAACACCACTCAGGAGATTACAACACCCCCCCCATCCTCCCCCCACAACACACACGTACCTCCACCTCCCCTTTCACACACACCCCCTCTCTTCGGCACATTCTTACATTTTCGCTCATCTCCATTAGGAGTTGGGCTGTTGGAGAGATGCAGTTTCCGACAGGCATTAAAAGAGCAGGGGTTCGGCTTTTATCCTTTTAGACTGAAAACAGCTTTTTATTCCCAACAATGAAATGATTGTCATATGGTAATATTGTAAAGGCGGCTCCCCGAGATACAGGTAAAGCATGAAGCAGTTCAGTGTGTTAAATAGGAATTACTGGCTTGGAAAAAAAAAGCATAATGTCCTAGAACATCCCCTAAAGTCCTCAGGTGAAATCTAAGTGCATTTTAAAACCAAGAGCAGGAAACACTTTCTTACACCAGGGGAATCATGGAACAGACTAACAAGCCATATACTGTACGTATTTGAGGCCGATACACCAGAATGACATCACAGGATCGTGCAACTAAACAAGACAGATGATCTGAATTAACTCCTCTCAGTTGTAACTACTCTTAGGTTCATTTTTCAGCTACTCCTCTGTAAATGTTCAGCTATGGGTACGTCTGCAGTTTCGTAGAAAGTATCAGTGTGAGGTCATTTCCATGCCCAAAGCACAGCATCTCATTTCGGCCAGAGCTTATCCTGGTTTCCATGGCGTTAAGTGGACGAGAGAGCACGTCTCCCAATGCCCTGGATGGGACACCAGCACATCACAGGGATCCCCCCACAGTACCGATCCCCACTTACACAGCTGGGTGGGCTGGAGCACCTCCCTCTGGGTACAACAGCAGTGTCTGCTGCAGAGGTCCAGACCCACGACCTGAGACCAGAGACCTGCCCACCACACCTCACTGTCCCCCGTACCTGTGTAAAATACAACAGGAAAATATGAAAGCTTTCTTGAAAAGCTGTACACAAAATACCTCAACACATGTAGTTACAGTACATGTAGTCTGCATTACTTGTGCCATTACAAATAATCCTGAACCATTTTTTGAAGACCACAAGACTAGAAAAATAGTAAGAGAAAGGCTGCAGTATCCTGGGCCTAAGAGTTAAGATTTTCTTTTAAGATCTGGATTTAAAAAAGGCAAGAACATCATGATAGTATAATGGATATCAAAACTATACTGACTGCTAAAATATTTTTCAGCTGAGACATGATGAAATGACATATTTTCTCCTAAAAGGCTTTATGTTAAGAATTAAAAGGTCAGTAGGTTTAATTTTTCTCCTACCAACATTCTTTATGTTTCTAATAATCAATCCAATAAATATAAGAGCAATATTAATCTTGGGCATTGATTTGTGTTAATGTAACCCAGATATTAAACAATTCCGTTCCACACACTGTGCTACGTGTGACATATGAACTCACATGCAACACAGGGACAATTCAGGAACTGGAGCTTATGTGAAGTATATATTATCCATCCATTTTGTAAGCACTCTATCCAACTCGGGGTCAAGGGGGAGCAAGAGTCTATCCTGCAAGCAACTGGCACAAGGCAGGGTACGCCCTGGACAGGACGCCAGTCCATCACAGGGAAGACAGACACCAACACACACACTCAGTTTTCCTACCAGTATGTCTTTGGACTGTGGGTGGACATGAACATGGAGAGAACAAACCAACTCCACATAGACAGCACCCCAGCTTTGGAATTGAACCCAGGGCCCCAGCACTGTGTCACAACAATATTAACCACTTCACCACTGTGCTGCCCCACACGTATATTATATGGGATGATATGTTTTAAGCTTGAAATGCACAGGAGTGGTTCCAAGGAATTTCTGAATAATGGGTCTAAAACTAAAATAAGCAGTTTGGAGCAGTGGATAAGGCTGAAGACCTCCTGAGTAGGAGGTTGTAGGTTCAAATCCAAGATGGGGACACAGCTGCTGTTTCCCTGTGAAAGACACATGCCCCAGAGTGCACCACCAAATCGGGCTGGGTAAGAGGGCACCAAACATCTTTGTGGCATGAGCCAAATGAATACTAAATGGATCCTCCACTGACATGGGTAGAATATTACACTCTCTTTATCTCCAACCTGCTGTTTCTGCTCAGAAAGATGGTGAGAAGGTCCACTGACTCCCTAGCCACAATAAACAAACTACCTCTGATGTCAAAACCTGGAGAGGGCAGGGCAGCAGAGGGTCAAAGGTCGTGGATGTTAAGGCATTGTGCCATGTGTGGCATCACCACAGTGTCTGTGGTCATCCAGAGGTTAATTACTCAATGGAAGTGTGCCTGACATGAAGGCAATTGTAAACATTTAAAAGCCTCACACAGATGGTCATTTAAATGGTACTTGAGGGAACAGAAACTCCAGTGAGCATGTTCAGGAACTCGTTTCCTCCAGGAGTGAAAAAATCCTGACAAAGAGTATCATTGAAGAGAGGACGCAAAACATCTTTGATTTTTTGACGTCCTTGACGTTTTTGAAAGCTTGAACTATTTATTTTCAAATAATGTATGTTTTCCAATAAAAACATAGAGCTGAAATTGTGATGCATCACTGAAGAGACGATATAGAAAAATAACATTTTTAATTTTTACAACCAGCTCATTCTTTTATACTGGGCAAACATGATTAACAAAATAACCCACCTCTGTGCTGCACAGCAACAAGAGTGGGATATACTGTACATTTCTCCAGTATGCAGAGATTCTTCACGGTACTTTCTTACAGTAAGACATTTTTCTTCCTTACAGGTAAATACATTTTTCAGTAGGATTTTTGAAGAGCCCAAATAATGTCCATCAATAAAAGAGAGAGACATATCTGTTTTTTTTATGACCAAAAAATCGTAAATCCCCTGTCGATTAAGATAAATCGCAACTCTTTTTATCACCAAAAAAAACTAACATAAGGCAGACAAAAACATATCGTTCATAACAAATACTTGCCAATCGGTCTGTACAAGTTAAGATTAGAATGAAAAGTATTTTTGATTCCTTTACGTTGTTATTATTAATAAATACGTAATTAAAATCAGGCTTGAATATAGACAGCCTTCATGCACCTGTGGGGTCCTAAGAGGTGCGCAAATCTTGAAATTAGTTTTACCTGAGGGTTAGTTTGGAGGCCAATCACAGAACTGTCTTTTTATCTTGAGTCCATTTTCTTTATGCGAACAAATCGGCATTTATTCATTTAGGTTTCAATATTGTTACACAGAATTGTTTTGTGATTTTTTTCTGATAAAAAGAAATCGTAGGTCCACGTGTTATTCCTTCGTAAACTGACCCCGTGCGCCTTAAGATGACAACTTAAAGGTAAGAACTCTTTTCGGAGCTGTCTAGTTCTTTCTTCGGTTTTCATATAATAAAAAGAGATTAGTAATGACAAACACGTGTATTTGGAGAATTAACACAGCTCGTGAGAAGCCAAACCAAGAAGGCTGTATAAACTGCGTGCTGTGTTTCTTAACATAAATATCACTGGTAAGACAGTCTCATGAAACCTTGAAACTGAAATAATTACAGCTTTTCTCCCCCTTTTATTTTCTGCTGTTGTAATCGGTCTGCATTGCATTAGTTCAGGTGGGGAGCTGCGTCAGCATGCGTAGGCTGCAAAGGAGCAAGTAATAGGTTTATTCCAGGGTGAAAAGAGAAGAAAGAAACAACGTTTCGGCCGTGGAGCCTTCTTCTCACACCTGAAGAAGGCTCCACGGCCGAAATGTTGTGTTTTCTTTCTTCTCTCTTTTCAGCCTGGAATAAACCTATTACTTGTTCCTTTGCATTGTATTAGTATTGTCATATTCGTTTAAAACGGTGTGAAAAGGGGCGTTTATTCCTTAAATGTGTATGTGTATATATAGATGTCTTTAAAAAGTAGCAGCTTGGGCCCGCGGTAACAGTTTTTAAGTGTTGACATATAATTTTGAATGTCTTCAAAGCAAGCAAAAAAAAAAAAAACGTCTGCACGCAGACCGAGATGCTCAGTGCGCTGCCAGCAGAGGGGTCTGAGCCCGTCTGGGGCAGGTCTTCGGAATGGTGCCGAGCTCAGGTGGGCTCGGGCGCTGGGGTCCGATTTTGTGTGGGTTTGTTTTTCCCGCAGACAGCACTGCCCTCTAGTCCTGCACTAGACTAGACCAGGCCCGGTTGAAAACGGTTTTAAATGAGGCCGAATGAGAGAGAGGCGGCTGGAGAGCTCTGGCAGGAGGGGGCGGCTGTGGGATCGCACTCTGTTATGCTAACTACCGCGCCTCTATTGAGCGCCTTGTGGAGGTAAACGCGAGGAACAGAAGGTTCACAGGCTCTGGGCTTTTGTCATGCTAATTCCGTCGGCCACCCCTCCCCACGACAGAAAAAAACCCCCATATATTTATATATATATATGGGCCCGCTCCCAGCGCAGCGAGGCGTGACACCCGCCGCCCAGGAGCGCCGGCCTCCGGCCCCGGGCCACCGCCACAACAATGCCGGCACATCGCCGAGCCGGGGCGGCGGAGGCTGCAGCCAAGAGCGGGATAAAACCAGGGATGAATGAGGGAGTCTGAAAGGGGGGGCGGGGGGGTTGGTGTAACTTAGGGGGCGCGGATGACTCCCATCAACTCCGAAAATGTATTCGCCCCGGCCAAGGTTTTCCAAACTGAAAGTTTTCTGTCTCCTGACACCTCTCTTTATAATCACACACCTTTCCCTTTATAATAATAATAAAGGGAAATCCTTTATATTATTATTATTAATAATAAATATTTAGGAGGGCCTGAGGGCAACAGAAATGTATCTGCTCCCAGCTGGAGTGAATGAGATGACGCGCTGCTCTCGGCCCTGACTGGAGCACAGGAGGTGAAAACACACTGTTGAGGTGCCTGCTTGTTCTACACTTTGTCTTTTTGTGGGCTCAGTACCCTCTTTTAACCCTCCCAGCCGAACCTCTCCTGTATACAAGCAGTTTCCGATTACTGGATGCTGGTGGATGAAGGTTTGTGTAACATAACCAAAGTTACAAAAACCCCAAAACCATTGTCCAGTCTTATTGAGACTGAAGTGGCTGGTGGGTGTTTAACATTGCGATGGAGGATGACAGGCAAACGTGCTGGTGTAGTGACTCAGGAGGGGAAGCCAGAATCTGGGCTGGTTTCCCCCAGTGCTGTGGGACACGGAGGTACAGCTCGTGAATAAAAAGCGACCCTTGTAATGACTGCACCCTGTAATAGAGGGTTCTGAATTCGTGTTTGCAGTCTTTGTTTTATTTCTTTAAAAAATGCAAGGGAATTCTTGCAAAAAACATCCAGTCAGGATTGAACCAATAATAATAATAATAATAATAATTGCTTATACTTATATAGCGCTTTTCTGGACACTCCACTCAAAGCGCTTTACAGGTAATGGGGATCCCCTCCACACCCACCAGTAGCTCCCGATAGATAGGGATTCCTGTGTTGCTGATCCGTGTGGCTCCTGCATGGAGTTCTGGAGCAGTGTTGGGCACCCTTCGCACCCCTGCTCCCACCAGTGAGAGTCTGTTGTAGCTTTTCCTTTATTATTTAGCCGATCTTCAGCAGCAGCGGCAGTCAATACAGTGATTAAAGCAATGGATTGAAGGCCGAAGGAGTCCGAAGGAGACGCAGCCAGTAGAAAACGCACACGACCAGGCGGCCTGAATCGGCACCCTTCTGATTCGGATCCAGAAGTCGGTCGGTCAGTTCTACAGAAACGGGGACTCGGACGGGTCCTAAGAACCAGCACCGGACAGGCCTGAGGCGGTTAAGGTGTTGCGTTTCCCTGCCGCTGCAGGACTCTTTGTGTTGTTGTGAGGCCGACAACGGCCGCCAGCCGAGCGGAGCCCCCCGTTTCCCGTGTGAGACGGCGGAGAGGGCGCGCACCCCCAACGAGACCCGCCGGCCAG